ATTTACGCTTTATTGACGCTCGGTTTACGTTTTATTTTCATCAGGGAAATAATAAATATACATATAGTAATTCTTCAGTATAGCTGCTCCACCTCCAAAATCAATCAAATTGGTCTCATTCGACGCGTTTTTTAACGAGAAACAACTTTTTCCTCAGACAATATCGTCGCTCTGCCCTGCGAAGCGAGATATTAATTGTTAAAGTTGACAACTTTTAGTGTTAGAAAATCTGTCATGCGGAACATACTGTCTCCACGCATGTACTTCTGCGGTTGTACTGTTCCACATGGGTTTGCAACTTTCCACGTGAAGCGAGATCCACTCCACATCACCTCTGACATAGGGTGGGTAGGGTTATTTTTAACGAGGTGAAGCCCCCCCGAAGGGGGGGGCGGAACATACTGTCTCCACGCATACATTTTTCTACCTACATATAAGTCACTCCCCTCCACCAAATGTAGATGGAAAAATGTATGCGTGAAGACAGTGTGTTCCGCCCCCCTTCAGGGGTGCTCCACTTCGTTAAAAATAACCCTATCCACCCTATGTCAGAGATGTGGAGTGGATCTCGCTTCACGTGGAAAGTTGCAAACCCATGTGGAACAGTACAACGGCGGAAGTACATGCGTGGAGACAGTATGTTCCGCCCCCCCCCCTTCGGGGGGGCTCCACTTCGTTAAGATATAACACACTGTAGCATAAATATACAGCTAACGTTGATTTTTGCTGGCCTTTTTGCGTTTTTCTGTTCCTTTTGCGTTCCTACTGCAAAATAATACATGTTTAGATTTGGAGGACAGATAAAAGTCCATCCTTTTTATCGAAAACTATTACTCGTACAGTAAAAATGAATAGGACATAAAATGCATATTTCGAAGAAATCTACAACTTTTATTTAAAACATTTTTCAAAATTTTTGATATTTGGTGGGATAAATGTTAAAAACCATAATTTTTATGGGTTTTTCATGGTTTTCATGGGTTTCTTGTTCCGACCGCCATGTCTAAGTTACATATTCATGTTTAGAACACAAAAATACATAGGAATTGAGTGTTGTTATCCCTTATTTCATATACGTGGGTTTTCCGAAGGTTTACCATTTTTTTGTACGTAAAAAGGCCAGCATCGAACGTTGCCACTCATTGTAATTTTGCGGCCTTTGAGCTTCGCGAAGTCGATGTTTTTAGCCATTTGTGATGCTTGAAACCGAGCGTCTCATACAACCTAACCACACTTTTAGCGTTTCGTACAATTGCACAATTTCCGGGTAAAAACAAACGAAAATACTCTCGCCTTTACAAAACGCACTGATTTTGGTCGTTCCTGGGCCCATAACCTGTTGTTTATCGGGTGGATGGAATAAAGAAATCAGCGTGAAATGTAAGATGATGTTTATTCAATCATAAATGTAATTAGAGTGAGTCTACTGAAAAAGGATTAAGTGACAGATGTCGCAGTTGTGACGCTGGCCACAGTCGGTACGGTGGATTTCAACAGTATCTATCATTCTCAAAAAGAAAATCTATCATTCACAAGCATATGGGCTAGTTCCCAACGTCATAGTATTCTTTTTCTTTTAATAAAAAATCTATTATTCGGATCTATGTATGTTCATATAAACATTTGAATAAAATACATCATTTAATTTAGGGTCACGAAACAGCAGATTTTGCTTAGTTTCTGCAGTCGATCTGTCATTATACTCTGTTAGCAGATTCGATTATATTTCTGTTGTATTTATTGTAACAAGTGTACTGGTATTTTATTGACCACATTTGTAGTAGATATTTTCAAAATCTGTTTTCTACAAATTCGACTTAACTGTTCGAGTTTTGAATGCGTCATATTGCAATCTTACTTTTCCACGAAAATATTTTTTTATATAATCGTATTTGAAATATGATTGTATAATATTGTATATAAAATATTTTATATAATCTTTATGTGTTATGTAATCACAATTATATTTAAAATATTATGTAATCATAAACTCTACTGTTTCTAAACTAACAGTGTAATGTAAAAATTATTCTTTTAACTTTTTAATTTTTTAGTTGTTTTTTCTGTACACATACAGAGATTTTGTACAAGAGAAAGAAAACATATGTATATTTCAAATTTTATTGAGTAATTACATAAATTTTATTGAGTAATTACATAAATTATATTATATAAAAAAATTTTGTGGGTTACAAGTTTTAAATTGTCTAATAATATCATTCGACATCGTAAACCGATTTAGTCGTTTAGCTATATGAAGCGCCACTTCAGATTCAATATTTATCATTCGTAAACTGGTACTTCCTTCTCCTTCTTCTTGTTGTTAAGAACACTTAAGGCATCTTTGCTCCTCACTGCAACACAGTGGTTTATGACGTCAGAAGCGAGAAATAATACGAGTTTTTCCTTTCACTGTAACATACATCGCGGAACGAGTTAATTCTTTTTATGCCACAGCTCATGGATGATATAAATAAATGAAGTAATCCTGCATAAACGGAAATTTTTTTGTCTCAACTGAACAACTTCGGCGTACAGTTAAATCAGGTCGTTATTACGTTTACTTCCACTTAAAATATAAAAAGAAGAAAAAGTTGTCTGTTTGTTGGAATAAATTAATGTTTTTCCGTGCCACTCCCCAAATAGCACAAAAACATTCCATTAACATTCTAGGAATATACGCCAAGAACATTCGAAGATTCCAGGAATCTTCTAATAGTCGTTTTATACGTTCGAGGCATATTTATAGAATGTACCAACGGAGCACTTCAAAAGTTCTAGAAACATCTCTAGAATGTTTATCTGAATGTGCTACGAATGTACTGCAAATATTCTAGTAATGTGCTGTAGATATTTCTATGAATGTTCCTGGAATATACAGCAAATATTCCAGTAATGTGCTGTAGATATTTCACCCAAAGAAAAGTATTCTATTTTTTAGTGGTTCCCTCTTGATTTTAGCCGGCACAAATTGGCAACCGGCACTACGCGACACGCCCGCGGGCGCGTGAGCGCCAGCTTCTGAGTATTCACCGACCGCCGCTAGGCCGCGCATGGTGACGGCCAAAAACTCGGAAACAAAATTCAGTCTCGCGGGCCTCCTTTTATACCCTACGAGACTGAATTTTGCTTCCGAGTTTTTGGCCGCCACCATGCGCGGCCTAGCGGCGGTCGGTGAACTACTCAGAAGCTGGCGCACGTGCTGCGATTCGCGTATCCGCGAATATCTTGCGTATCCTCTTATTTCAAGAGGCTAGTCGTATTACTGTAATGGAATTTTCTATACAGAAAATTAATCTTAATTATAATTTTGAGTCTACTCTTTTATAGATGAATATGTGTTAAAGTAAGTGAGAAATGCTTCATATAAGATTTTTTGTTAGAGGAAATGCTTAGAGGATTTCCCCGCTTACGAATAGAATTTTTTTTTGGGTGCATAGCAAGCAGCGCCCAGAAACACCAATCATCATTTGAACATGCATAGCATATTCCTAGAACATAATGGAACATACTGCGTATGTTCATATAGAAGTTCGTGAATATACCACGTACATTCTATGCGAATATTCATAGCACATTTACAACATTCCATAAACGTTCGTAGCACATACGCTGTTAATATTCCACGTATATTCAGTAAGAATATCCGTAGAAAATTCCATGTGTACATTCCACGTACATTCTGTAAGAATATTCATAGAACATTCAGAATATGCCATAGACACTCAGGGAACATTTAATGCGAATATTCCCTGGACATTCTGTGTGAATGTTCATAGAATATGAAGAACATTCTAGAAACATTCACGGCACATCCATGCGAATATTCCTGAGAGAGAACATTCGAATCATATACAAACATTCATGGAACATTCGGTGCTATCTGGGTCATATACTGGATACATTAATAAGACATATGCTGTAAACACTTTTCGTATAGACACGAGCTAATTAAATGGTTTCGAAATTCGATCAACCGCAGTAAATTCCTTCTCGCTGGGAATGTAGAATTGCAAATTGACTACATTTAAATACATTTATATATTTACTTAATAAGATACAGAAACAAGTAATTAAAAGATTATTTTTCAACACGTATTACAATTCGTGAAAAAATTGCAAGCAGTTAAAAGCAATTAGAACTCGCGATCAGTTTGTCTTCGGAGTATGAAGAAGAGATCTTTTGCACGGTAAAATGCAGATGCACGTATAAGTTGTAACACGCTATATCTGTCCAGAACAGTACAGAGGTAAAGTCTGATTCCAAAACCTGAAATTTTTTATAAGTAAATACGTGAATGAATATAAATAAAGTGAATATAAATAAAAAATGTAAATCGTCTTCTTTAACTTTTTGAAGATCTGAAATTTACATAATAGCGTAGTTACGTAGTAAGCTAGAAATAAGTAAAACCGGTCAGACAAAAATCGGACAAAAACAAATAATCGAAGAATATTTTGAAAGATTTAAAGGTAACATATGTATACATGTGCTTGAACCTGTTAGTGACGTAAGCGATAAACTTTGAGCCTCCGTAGATAGAATTCTTATTTATTAATTTATCTTTACTTGAATACAAAATTGTATCTTTACGAATTACAAATTTTCTCTGGTCTAATAATCTTCCAAAAAATATAAGCCGATATCGTTAGTGTACCGAATTATACGAATGTGAACGTTTCTAGAATTCATTCAAACAATTCAGCTATAGTTCATCCAAATCTTTCGCACGAATTCTAGTCTGCAATATCGAGAAAGATTAGTTTATCGACATTATACGCGGCTACTTCGTCTATATGTTCCAGGAGAGATAATAATTAATAAGAATGACACATAAGTCTTACTATTTTTTTATCTATGCATAATTAATAAATACCTACGTGTGACGCATGAAGACCGCAACTGTATACGTTATAAGACAGCTATAAAAGCATTGATTGTTTGTGACGCATTAACAGTCTATCGCGGTAGTCCACTTTATGAACTATTATTGTTCGGTGTCTGTTAACAAAACACGTGCAAATATGTTTATGTGCGCTTAGAAAAGCGAGGAGTGCGAGAAGACCTCGTTCTGCAGTCAGCTAACATACAACTACGACTTGTTTGTTTGGAAGGTTAAAAGTAAAATTACAGGTTCGTTACAGTTTTTGGTCTACACGGTGTATAAAGTGACTAAGCCAGGTAATTTTTTTACATACGTTATATCACTTTTTAGCGGTAATATTAAAGCTACGGTTTTATTTGCGGATTTTTTGTTATAAAAAATATTTTAGCTGATAACAGTATGGGGCTAGTTGGTCTAAGTGTCCCAACTAACCCCGCTTATGAAGTGAGAGATCTCGGAAATAAAATGGTGCTTTAATTGGTGTTCCTTACTTCTTTTTATTGTTTTGATAGTACATACGTACGTACTTTATAGTATGCCACAGTTGTCAAGGCTGGGCTCATACAAAGTGCACCTCTAGTGCAATATTTGTTTGCATCAATTGCGACAGTAATAAAGATTAATATGGTTTTAATGAAAAAGATTGCTTTTAAAGACCTCGAGATCAGCTATAAGAATATGCCATAAAATATGGGGGTTTCCATTTCAAATTTTTACGTTGACCTTGACTGGGCTTTTCAAGGTCATACCAAGGTCAAATTCATAGCGTCGATAAATAGATCCTTTGAAGCCATACGACTTTTATATGAAACATTTTTTTGTAAAACGTCACGTTTTCGAAATAATTGAGTGTCCCGACCTTTTTGTTGTCAACACCCTGTATATTTTATTCGGCAATAAAGTGTCAATATTTTTTGTTAACAAACATTAATCACGTAAAAGATGTACGTACGTATATGAAGCTGCACAAAAAAATACTAATGTAAAATTAAAATCTGTAATAAGCACTTTCATCATCAAGGCTGCAAGGTGTATCTGAATATGTATAAAGGCTATTCTAACCAAGGTTGGGAACGTTACCTTAAAAAACTAACGCGTTACCGTTACCGTTACTTTTTGTAAAAAGTAAAGGCTCCTACACAATGAGAATCCGTAATCCTTACGTAACTGTTACCGTAAGAAATCGACCCGTATAATTTACAATGGCAGCCCGTAACCGTAACGTAACTTTAACGAAACAATCAGTAAGGAGTTGTTTCTAACCTGTAAAGAATTAAATAAGTATTTTGTGTTTTGACAGAATCTAAATCGGAAACGCAATTATGTGCAATGGATGTTCAGCGAGTTAAAAATATAGCACTTGTGACTGTTAATTTGGCTGCAATAATGCTACAATTAGTTAGGGAAAAAAGAAAAATGATTCGAAAAAGAAAATATTGGGTGCAGCTAATGCTGTTACAGCGTAAAGAGAAAGGTCATTTTCATACTCTTTTTCAATTCCTGAAAAATAATGACCACGAGGAATTTTTTAAATATACCCGAATGACCATCTCACAGTCCGAGAAACTGTTAAATTTAGTTAAAGAGCCTCTGACGAAGAAAAGTATTCGTGAGCCTCTGTCCGCCGAACATCGTTTATGTATTACCTTGTAGTAAGTTTATCTTATAATATTTATTAAATCATTAATTTTAAATTAATATTTTATTTTATAGTTATCTTGCTCATGGTTGCAGTATGCAAACTGTTGCATGGAACTTTTATGTATCTGTAGCA